TAACTGTTTCTAATTGAAAATGTCTCAGCTGAAATCTCTTAACAGATAACAGACTATGCAAAGAAAGACCTGTCTGGGGAGTGAGCACCACTGAACTCTGGAATCAGATGTGTGTAGTCAGTCTCACTTCCCAAATGCCCCCAGGAGAATGCTGAGGATGTAATCAGACCCTTGTTGGCTCACAGTCACTGGGACAGCTAGCAGTAAATGCCTTCTCCGATGCCGGGAAATGGAGCTCAGTTCAAGACGTTTCACTATTTTCAGTAAAAGCTTTAAAATTTTTGACACTATAAGTGTACTGTGTTGAAGTGTTCTCCAAAACGATATGTCCAAGTCCTAACTCTTAACACTTGTAAACATGATCTTACTTGGTAACAGGGTTTTTGTAAATGTGACTAAATTAAAGATCTGGAAATGAAATCATGCTAGATTTGTGATATACTTTAAGTCCAATGAATGCATCGGCCTTTCCTTTTATGTACAGTGTTTTAAGGATCTTATAAAATGACAAAATTCTACTCTGACGAGAAAGGAAAGAAAGATTAGAAGAATCTATGAAAAGAGAAGAGACAGGATATGCTGCCACAAGCCACCAACACTTGGAGGAAGGTTCTCCCCTAGAGCTGAGGGTATGCAATTCTGCCAATCATTTGATTTCATAACTGTAAAAGAATAAACCACCATTGTTTTAGAGTACCTATTAATATTAGTTTATGGTAATTTATTGTAACTGTGTTTAGATTCCAGTATTGCTTTGATCTAATGTCATTTAGAAACATTACAGCTTAACAATGGAAAACTGCAGCTCCCATTTTTATGGCCTACACAGGCTATTTCCAGCCTTCTTGAAATACATAGGCAATCCAGTGAAAAGCCCAGAAGATAATGAACTATGTGAAGCTGTACTATATAATTACATAATCCATGACGTATTAGGTCTGTTCAGATCATAGTGATGATGTGTAATCTGCTTTTAATATTTTTTTCCTCCAAGACAGACGTGAGCAAGGGAATCTCTGTAGCACTTGTACTCAAGCACTACAAAGTCACTCTGATTAGGTTAGGAGTCAATTCAGTGGTATGTGCTCTTACCACTGCTCTTCACCTCTGCTGCATAAATCTGTAGACCTTCTTCATGATTGCTTCCAAAAAATAAAATCAATAAACATTTAAAATATTCTATTAGTACCATCCATATGTATATTGAAGTGGTTTTCAAGACATATTACCATTGCTGGCCACAGAAACCCATTCTCAATGCTTGCCAGCATCATTGATTATGACAAACAAAACAGTAACAACAAAACCCATATTCATTTCAAACTCCATTGGAAACAGAAGGAAATATAATCAATGTTTACCAAATAAAAAAGGCCAGCCTGCACAGAAAAAAATGCCTTTGTGAGCTTCAAAGTAGGCAAACAATGAAAGTGAAAATCCTGAATAGCATGTGTCAAGAATGCATCAGCATTTCCTTTTCTGAAGAATGCTTTAAGGATCTTATAAATTGACGAAACAGAGAGATGGCTCAGCGGTGAAGAGCACTGCCTGCTCTTGCAGAGGACCAGGGTTCAGTTCCCAGCACCCACATGGCGACTCACAGCTGTTTGTAACTCCAGAGGATCTGATGTCCTCTTCTGACCTCTGTGGGCACTGCAAGACATGGGTGCACTTACATACATGCAGGCAATACACTCATGCACATAAAATAAAAAGAATAAATAAAATATTTTAAAAATAAATTGGCATAGTAATTCCATTATAGCTACTATTTGGCGCATGGGATTAAGGTAGTCTTGTCTAAAAAAATGCACTGTTTGAAAAACAAAAGTTCCTATACTAATACAAAGGTCAATCAAGCTGAGTGTGGTAGCACATTTGGAATCCTAGCATTCAGAAGGCAAAGGCAGGAGGACCACTGCATGTTGGAGGGCAGCCTGGGCTACATGGTGAACTCCAGCCGTGACTACGTAGTGAAACTATCTCAAAAAAAGAACTGACTGGGTCTATGGTAAAAGGCTTCTGTCTCAATATAGTTATTAAAATAAATGGAGTGCTGGGCGTGGTGGTGCATGCCTTTAATCCCAGCACATGGGAGGCAGAGGCAGGAGGATATCTGTGAGTTCAAGGCCAGCCTGGTCTACATAGTGAGTTCTGGCCAGCTGGGGCTACAGGGAGACCGTGTCTCAAAAAGACCAAAAATAAATGAATAATAAATGAATAAATAAATAAATTAAATAAATGGAAAAAAGACTACCAGTTATATCTGACTTTTCTAAAAACAAGTAACTAAAAATGTCCAATTTTACTCCTGTTGGATAGCCAATACATTACAAGAAAAATTAGAAAGAAGGCATTCAATGCTAACCATTGTGAAATGGTGTTTCTCAAATCAGGCAAGGGCACGATACAGCTGGATATATACAAAGTTTAAGTATAGGTCAACTGAGCCACATAACAACCTAAAACCACCAACCCCCTAGACTTGAGTCAGTCTAGTTCAGTTCAAAGCCTTAGTCTTTTAGGCCAAAGCTACAGTTCTCTTTGTTGCCAAGAATATGAAGTCAACAACGGACCTAATGCAACACTAGCAAGTCTAGACCTTTTCTTCAGGTTGAGACAATGAATCCCAGTTGATCAAATTATCCTGGCAGGCAAAGAAGACCCAGTCTATAAAGTGCTTGCCTTACTTACAAGCATCAGGACCAACTTGAGTTCGGATTCCCAGAACCCATCTAAAAAGCTGAGTGAAGTGGGGTGTGTGTGAATCCCAGAGATGGCAAGATGGGAAGTAGAGATAGGTGGATCCCCAGAAGTTCACAGGTCAGCTAGCTTGGACTACATAGCCAGACTTCGCCTGGTCAATGACAGGCCCTATTTCAAACAAAACGTAGAAAGTGCTTGAGGACTGACACCTAAGGTTGTTTACAATCTCCACAAGCATGTACACCATGTACACACACACACCGACACATACATACACACACACACACACACACACACACATGCACATCTTGGGTTAATCATTTTGCCGTTTTAAAGCTATTTTGACAAAAATCTAAGTGAGAAGAATATTTGAAATGGAAGCCTCTCTATTCTTAAAAGTTCAAAGACTTCCTCAAACAGGACCAACACTCACAGCCACAGGTCAGTCCAAATTAAGAGATTCCCTTTGATGTGACTGAACACACATTACTAAGAAACCATCTAAGGAGGTGCAGAAGGAGGGTTGTTGTTCTTGCATTAAGCAACCAGTTAGAAGAGGTGATCATTACAACTCAATGCACTATCACAGGGATGAAAAATAAAACATTGCGCTAGCAGAAATGCATGAAGTGCATCACTAAATGCTGCTACATATTCGAAGCAGGCATTCCAAAAATGACAAGCAAAGTTTACAACAGGAGTTTGTTTTTCAATTAAACAACTTCTTCGGTATTTCCAACGTTAAAAGCACTGAAGCTGGATGTTGTGGTGTACACCTGTAATTCAGCTCTCAGAAGACTGAGGCAGCTCTCAAGTTCAATGTTTGCCTGGGCTACAGAGCAAGATCCTGCCTCAAAAAAACCAAACAAACAACCTTTTTGCTAATGCCAGTTGCTCCCTAAATATGTTAATTTTTTTTCAAATTATTTGAGCTCTATCCCATTGGCCCCATCTTATCAATGTTGAAAGTATTTATGAAGCATTAAGTAGTTGCTCTTGAGATTAGCTAAAATTAGTTTTAAAAATTAAGTACATATGCCATTTTAGCATTCAGAAAAATGAAAAGTGAACAGGTAAATACAATCTGGCATAAAACAAAAGCCTCTAAGCCTCTGGATTTTAAATATTCTGGTAACACATCATTTTTCTTTTCTCTCTCTTTTTTTTGTCTTTTTGAGACAAGGTCTCCCTGTATCCCCAGCTGGCCTTGAACTCACAGAGATTAGCCTGCCTCTGCCCCCCAAGTACTGGGATTAAAAGCATGTAGTACCATACCTGGCCAGATCAATTAATTTTTTAAACCATAAATACCAGTAATTTCTACTCTCCAGTCAAAGTACAAGTTTCCAAAGTAGAATAAATACAGAAACATAGCCATTTGGTGACCTGACATAGATCTTGAAAGGTAGTAAGATAAGGTATTAACTTAAGCTGAGGTCAGAGAACACAATTACTACCCATTTCTACCAAGACTTGCCTTTGTAGAACTTGAGTTCTTTTTATTTCAAAGAAAGGTAAATCAAGGCAGGCCTAGTGGTACATCATGTACAGTCCCAACGGTGAGGAGTCTGAGGCAGAAGGATCACTTGAGCCCACAAATTTGAGGCTAGCCTAAGAAACAGTGAGATCCCATCTCAAGCAAAAACAAAGGTAAAGCAATGAAAAAACACTGCCCCACACAGTCCTTTCATTCCAACACAAACATGTTTCAGTCCTCAAAACTAAAGAGATCATAAGGTTTGTCCTTAACAGTTTTATATGTTTCTGATTGGATTCAAACAGCTATCAACTGCTAGTGGCATGTTTGGGTAAATGAGACTGGAGTGCTCTATTACACCATTTCCTGGTGCCACTAATGCTTCCTGGAAACCCCTGAGTAGGTTTCAGTAAATAGTAGTCGAAGTTTTCCCTAGCTCTTTGCCAACTATTACAAGCAAGATATAGAAAGAAATGTGAAAGACAAATAGTAAAATTATTTGAGTTCTAGTAAAGAAAGCAGAGAAACTTAAAATCATGTCTCTGTGTCTTAGATTAAGCCCAAGTACAGAAGAGAAATCTGTTCTCAGGATTATCAAGAAGTACAGGTTGGAACTGTTTTCTCAAATTTAAGCCACACAGAGTACTCTGAAAATAACCCAATGGTCCCCAACTTAATCTCCAAATCGAGTCTCCTGTTCTTTTAATAGCTGGGTAAGAAAAAAAATGGCATTCCTTGCTAAACTGGTTAAAAGGGGGTAGGGGGCTGCAGCCTGGGGTACATGCTCCAGGTTGTACCTGCACCTGGCAGCCCTTACCTGAATGTCCGTGTCCTTCACAGGCTCAAGAGGTTCAAAGGTGGTGGCTGCACTCAGACTCTCCAATCTCTGGGAGATGTGGGATTTATCAAGCCCTCGTGACCCAAGAAGAACGGACCTATAATGGAGATGGAGGACAGGAAACAAGAAGGTGAAAGTAGCATTAGGGCATCTAATACACCACATAAAACACTAAAGAGTAATTTTCGTTCTAAGTCTCCTATCTCGGCATAGGGGCAGAAAGATAGAACGAGTGGTAGGGCTGGAAATTTTCTCTCTACTGTCCAGATGCTTTTAAACCTTCTCATAAAGGTCTATTATCTGAAATAACAGATAAAATACTGCAACTGGGAGTAAGTTATCCAAGTTCTGGTCATGCCTGAATTAGAGGGAGGGCCTCATTTAGAATAAAACAATGCCATAGGCTAGGCAGTTCCAAACACTTTACAGAAAAGAAGCCCATGGGGTAGATACAATCACTCATCCTTACTTTGGAGATGAACAACTAAGGTGCAAAGACATTGGCCAACATGTCCAAAGTCACAATATCAGGACATGGCAGAGACAACGTGGAAGAGATCTAGAACACAAACTCTTAGCCACTAACCCATACTTAACAGTCTCTGAAGGAGAGCTACAGTAAAGTACAGAATCTTAGAAACTTCAGGAGTAACCAAGTCCAAACAGTAGCTGAAGAAACCAAAGGTCCTGGGCAGCTGATGATTTGCTCCAAGGCAGGCAAACTAGAAGCAAAGGCCAGTTCTGCATGGCTTGTCTTCAAACCTCAAATACCATGCTACTCCATCTTCAGGTTCCCACTCTCCTGCTCAACCAACAATATAGGAAGGAGGCTAGTATCTGACCAATAAATGCTTTTTTTTTTTAAAAAAAAAAATGTTTTTGTGGGCCGGGCGTGGTGGTGCACGCCTTTAATCCCAGCATTTGGGAGGCAGAGGCAGGTGGATCTCTGTGAGTTCAAGGCCAGCCTGGTCTACATAGTGAGTTCCAGGACAGCTGGGGCTACAGGGAGTCCCTGTCTCAAAAAGACCAAAAAAAAATTTGTGTGTATGTGGTACTACCTGCACCTATGTTAAGTGCACCCACATCATGCCATGCTTACGGAGGTCAGATCCCCTGGAACTGGAGTTACAGTTATGAGCTGCCATGTGGGTGCTGGGAATCAAATCTGAGTCCTCTGCAAGAAGAGACAGTGCTCTTAACTGCTGAGTCATCTCTCCAGCCCCCAATAAGTGTTTTTAAGGAGAAACAGGAATAATACTGTCAGCTTCATGTCTCCTCACCTGGCCAACAAAACAATGAATGAATTAAAAACTACAGTCCAGTGTCCTGGGGTTTCCCTTCCAAGTTACCGTAACAGATAGGCATCTAGCCTCTTCGTTCTACTAATTCTTAATAGTTATCTTTCTACCACAGTGCTTCTCAAACCTGGCTGCACATCAGAATCATCTATACAACTTTCCTTCCAATGACCCTGATTCTGACTGCTCTTGGGCAAAAATGGGAATTATGGGTAAGAGTATAATGTTTCAGAACATTATAATCTTTACAGAATAATCTTTCAGAACAGCTCTACTGATAGGGATTTGCATACCACAAAATTCACCAGTTCCAGTGCACAATTGAGTGATTTTAGTATACTTGTATAGTTATACAACCATCAACATAATCAATTTTATAATATCTTCAGCACCCCAAAGAAAGCCCTGTCAAGAAGTGTGTCCTGTTTTTCCTTCCTGAGACCTTGGCAACCACTCGTCTGCTTCCTATCTCAACAGACACAGGTATTCTGAACAGTGCACGTGCACAGAGTACAGCAGCTTCTGTGACTGGCAGCTTTCCCTTAGTGTTATGCTTTCAAGACTCATTCATCTCTCTGGGGTATATATCAGGACTCCATTCTTTTTATTCCATGTGATGGCATACCACATTTTATGTATCCATTCATCAGTTACTGGACATCTGAATTGTTTCCATTTTTTCACTGGTATGAAAAATGTTGCCATGAACATTTATACATAAATTTTTGTGTGAATATTTACAATTCTTTTGGGTATATACCTAGGAGTAGAGCTGCTGGGTTAAATGGGAATTCTGTTCAGTCTTTTTAATTTAATTTTATTATTGTTTTAAACAGGGTCTTACTTTGTAATCCTGGCTGGCCTGGAACTCATTATGTAAACCAAGCTGGCCTAGAAATCACAGAGAGGCACCTGCCTCTGCCTCCCAAGTGCTAGGATTAAAGGTGTGCCATTATGCCTGACTTGCTCAGTCTTTTGCAGAACTCAGACTCTTTTTCAAAGTAGCCATATCACTTTACATTCCCACTGGCAATGTACAATTCCCACATCCTCACCAACACTTGTCATTCTATTAACTACCCTAGCTGGTCTCCCCTTTCTGGTTGTTGCAGAAAAAACATTAATATACAAAGTTAAAACACTGAAGTTCTTTGGGCCTATCATTCACCTTCAGCAATCCTGTCTCATTTACCCTACCTACCCTATTTCCCCTACCACTATGATCACTGTGAAGTAGACTCAAGGGATCTCCCAATTCTAAAATCTGTATTTGCCTGAATGAGATACAGATAAGATCTTGTGAATGACTCATATGTCTTCTTTTTCATCTAGAGTGCCCCATCTCATTTTTTTTTCTTATAATTTATCTATGGACAAGTTTGGACGTGTCCTGTAAAGTAGTGTTATTCAAACTTAATTATGCATATGAATCACTTGCCTGGTTAAAATGCTGGTTTTGATTCAAAGCTCTGGGATGGAGCCTGATACTTTACATTTCTAGAAAGTTTGTGGTTGATGCTAAGGTTATTAATGTACAGACTACACTCAGACTAGCACAAATACAGTTTACAGAATGGGTTTTAGTGTTGAATCCCCATGATCCCACTGAACAGGTTTGTCTGTCCTGTTGCCTATAAATTCAAAGTGGGCGCTAAGGTCAGATTAGACTTGGGGGCCACTGTCTTGTTGCTTCTTTTCTGTCCATTTCCATCAAGAGGTATGGAATGCCTGGTTTTTGCTAGAATGTTTGCAGCCACTCATGACTAAGTCTTAGTCATTTCTTACAGGCTATAAACAGTGGTATTCTCTATCGTCATAAATTAGAGTACTTCCATTTAGAGGACTCTTGCCATCAACCATTATTACCCTGAATAATGAGCTGGTTCTCTAGTATCCTTCCAAGGTGACTGGTGATTTTCATTTTAGTATCATAACGATGAACTGAAACATATTTGATACATTTAAACCTACTGTGTATCTTAGTCTTCTGGTGTTCAAGTTGCCTCACCTCTTCAAATTTGTTTCTGAGTTTTTAAGTTTTTATTTCTTTTGGGGTGGTGGGATGTTGGGGGGGGACTGTTGGGTTTAGTTTGGTTTGGTTTGGTTTATGGTGTTGGATATTAAACCAGGACCTTACACACAATAGAACCATCATTTACGTGTACAATCCCTGGCGTCTGAGTTCTTTCTGAAATGACTCAAGTAAGCTTAGTAACTTTGCCATCTGACATGGCAAGATAGTTCATGTGTGTCTTAAACAGTCCTAATAGAGACTAAGAATCAGCCAGTTCTCAAAGAGTCCTAGTTACCTTTATGAAGAAAAGGACTTTATAGACAATTCTCTGTGCAACCAGGATTGCTGTACTGTTCATAGCCCCTTCAATAGCCAGAGTTAGAAAGGAAGCTTTTATTTTTTGGCTTCATTTTCTCGAGATAAATCATGTCATGAGTTCATATTAATACTTCCAATTCAAATTTAAGAACACAGGGTTTCATGACTTCAGATGTTCCATCTGTAGCTCCTTTTCCCACACCAAGAGTCACCATCATAACTGCTAGTGTGTTTTCATCTACACTGTACATAGCAGTCTCCAGATAGCAGTAATAGCTCTGCACCAACAATTAAATTATCAACATTAAAATGTTGAGAGCCGGGCGTGGTGGCGCACGCCTGTAGTCCCAGCACTTAGGAGGCAAAGGCAGGCAGATCTCTGTGAGTTCAAGGCCAGCCTGGTCTACACAGTGGGTTCCAGGACAGCTGGAGTTACAGGGAGACCCTGCTTCAAAAAGACAAAAAAATTTATTATTATTTACTTATTATTTATTTAATTTATTTGTATGAGTGCTTTGCCTGCCTGTATATAAATGCACCTGTGTCATGCAAAGCCCACAGAGGCCAAGAGAGGACACTGGATGCCCTGGAACTGGTTAAGAGCATCCATTGCTCTTGCAGAGGATCTGGGTTTGATTCCCAGCACACACATGGTGGCTAACAACCGTCTGTAACTCTAGTTCCAGGCTCCAACGCAAGGCATGGGCGCACTTACATGCTCATATACATAAAATAAAAATAATTTTTTTAAACTGAGCCTGGAGAGATGACTGAGTGGTTAACAGCACTGGCTGCTCATGCAGAGGACCCGGGTTTGGTTCCCAGCACCCACATGGTGGCTAACAACTATTTGTAACTCCAGTTCCAGGGGATTCAACACCCTCTTCTGATTGCCACATGCACTGCCACATGCACCCTCTTCTGACTGCCACATGCATTACCCCATTACACTTACATACACGCAGGCAATATACTTAACCACATAAAATAAAATTTTAGAAAATAATCAAGTATTTTTAAAAAAGGGGAGTTATCAGAGAAACACATAGAAGCTTGACAGAACATTCTGTAGGTCACTTTATAAAACATTATGAATAGACTATATAGTAAGATGGTTTATAAGCATAAACAGGTACTAACAATTGTGTATAAGCTATAAGACAAAATCACAGTCATAAAGAAAATAGGTCAAAAGGCAAAATGTATAAACACCAATCTGAGGCTACATAAACCAGCTCAGTACAGCAACTGTTGAGCTTGCATTAAAACTCTGGGTTCAAGCCACAAATACAAAACAAAAGTGTATTATTCATATATCACCGATCAGTAGTTAATGCGCCCAGCTTTATAGCTGCAGTCATCTGAAATAGCATGACAGATAACCTGTCTTTTTTTTTTCCTGCTCATTTTTGAGTTATTCTGTGACTTGATATATATCAACATGAACATTCTCTGTTATGTCCCCCT